GAAAAAAAGAAAAAAAAATCTTCAGTGAGGTTGTGTGTAAAGTTAAAAAAAAAAAAAAGAAAACCTTTTTCTAGTCATAGCATCTTATAAATTAAAAGAGAAATTAGTAGAGATAAACGATTAGCCCTGTTTTAAACATGGTCAGTTTCTCTCATGAAACACTCAATAACCACAGTAAAATATGATTCCAGTTTCAGCTTACTAAACCTGTCAATATGTAGGTGTAGATAAAACTTACACTGAAGACTTCAATGAGGCCAGGCACAGTGGCTCATGCCTATAATCTCAGGGCTAGACGAGGCCAAGGCGAGAGGATCGCTTCAGGCCAGAAGTTCAAGACCAGCCTTGGCAAACATAGTGAGACCTTTTCTCTACAAAATATTTAAGAATTAGCTGGGTATGGTTGTGTGCACCTGTAGACCCAGCTATGCTGGAGGCCGAGGCGGGAGGATTGCTTAAGCCCTGAAGTTTGAGATAGCAGTAAGCTATGATCACACCACTGCAGTCTAGCCTGGGTACATAGCAAAACCTTGCCTCAGGAAAAAAAAAAAAAAAAAAAGAGAGAGAGAGAAATGAAGAAGCCATCAGATGTAGTTCAGGGCACAAGAACCTAGTGCTGGTATTTATTGGTGAGCAGCATGTAGTCAGGACTTAATTTCCATTGTTGTCCCTTTGACTTGGCATTTTTATGTCAGTGAAAATGAAATGAATACTTTCTCTTTCTTCATTATTAAATTTAGTGAGTAAATTACTACCAAGTATTTATATATTTAAGGGCTTTTTAGCTGAGAACATAAAGATTCAACTAATTGGCCAGGTGCAGTGGCTCACACCTGTATTAAGATTCAACTAATTAGCCAAGTGCAGTGGCTCACACCTGTAATCCCCACTGCTTTGTGGAGCCGAGATGGGAGGATTGCTTGAGCCCAGAAGTTTGACACCAGCTTGGGGAACATAGGGAGACTCCATCTCTACAAAAACAAATTTTTGCCACTCGCAGTGGCTCACACCTGTAGTCCCAGCACTTTGGGAGGCCGAGGAGGGTAAATCAAGAGGTCAGGAGTTCAAGACCAGCCTGGCCAACATGGTGAAACCCCATCTCTGTTGAAACTACAAAGAATTAGCTGAGTGTAGTTGTGGGCACCTGTAATCCCAGCTACTTGGGAGGCTGAGGCAGGAGAATTGTTTGAACCCTGGAGGCGGAGTTTGCAGTGAGCTGAGATTGCACCACTGCACTCCAGGCTGGGCAACAGAGTGAGACTCCATCTCAAAAAAAAAAAAAATTTTTGTTTTAATTAGCCAGGTGTGGTGGCATGTGCCTGTGGTCCTGGCTACTTGGGAGGCTGAGGTAGGAGAATCACTGGAACCTGGGAGGTCAAGGCTGCAATGAGCTGTGATCACACCACAGCACTCCATGCTGGGCAATAAGCAAGAATCTATCTGGAAAAAAAAATTTCAACGAATTATTTTTCTCTATTCCAATTTGAATAGAAACGAGGCAAATGCCCCTCCTACCTCTGAACACCCTACAGTCAAAGACAAATTTCAAAAATATATGCAAAATTTTATTAAAGGGTTAACATTCAGGATATATACGCCCTTTGGACAGTAATATTAAGCTCAAATCTATGAAATAATCCATACATACAGTGCTTTTTCATTATGTGGATTATGAAGATTCTGAGCCACTTCATCAGAAAGTACTCAAAGAAAAGAGTAAATGAGTCAGGTAAATTATAGTTGTATTTTGTGGAAAGAAATACAGCCTAGAATTGGAATTAAAAGGGTTTGAATAGAGAATTTTTGTTGATTATAAACACCCCACTCCTAGTTCACAGTCAATTGTAGGTTGGTGCTGAGAAAGGTCAAGCTTTAAAAGGGTTTTTTGTTTTTTTTTTTGAGACAGTCTTGCTCTGTTGCACAGCCTGGAGTCCAGTGGCACAACCTTGGCTCACTGCAACCTCTGCCTCCCGGGTTCAAGTGATTCTCCTGCCTCAGCCTTCCAAGTAGCTGGGATTACAGGCGTGTGCCATGATGCCTAGCTAATTTTTGTATTTTAAGTGGAGACAGGGTTTTACCATGTTGGCTAGGCTGGTCTTGAACTCCTTACCTGAAGTGATCTGCCTGCCTCGGCCTCCCAACGTCTTGGAATTATAGGCGTGAGCCACTGCACCCAGCCTAAAAGGGTCTTTTTTCTTAAGTTAAAGTTCTTAAAGGAAAGATCTGAAGCGTTAGGTATAATACTGAATTTTCATTTGGTTAGTAGGTGTCAACCTCAATGGAAAGAAGATTTTGGTAGTCGGGGCCCATGGATCTTTGGAAGCTGCTCTACAATGTCTGTTCCAGAGGAAAGGGTCCATGACAATGAGCTCCCAGTGGAAAACACCCCAGCTTCAAAGCAAGGTAAATTTCATGTTGGAAACATATGTTGAATGCTCATGTTAGAACGGAAGAAAGTCTAGAAATGTATAAACTAAGTGCTTAATTCAAGAAATTAGAGGAAGAAAATTGAATAGACCCATATCCATTAAAGACTTTGAGTCAGTCTATTCACCAAACAACAAAAGGCGACAGGTGGTTTTACAAATGAGCTCTCTCAAAGAACAGATCATTCTCCTACTATCCTTTTCTCTAGCAAATGGAGAAAGAAGGAACATGTCCTAACACACTTTGAGTGCCGAAGCCAAACAAGGACAAGATGCTGAAGGAAAATTAACAGGCCAGTGTCAGCTATGAATACAAATGAAATAATCTTGAGCAAAATCTTAGAACACCAAATATGGCAGCAAGTTAGGTTTATTTTAGGATTGCCAGGTGATTTAACATGAGACAATCTATCACTGTCATTCATTACATTATGAGTAAAAACTAAATTCTCACCATAGTAAGTACAGATAGTCACTTGATAAATCTAGTAACCATTATGACCTTTTGAAAGTAATTATAATTTGGATGAAAATCATCAAGAAGACCTATATAAAAGTAGAGGTATCATCTTCATGGCAAAGAGGCAGTATCTTAAAGATACTAATTCTCTGCAAATTATAAGTTCCTGACATGTTTTTTGTAGAATTTGACAATCTGATTCTGAAATCCAAATGGAAGCATAAAGGACAAAGATAACCAAGATAATTCTTTGGAAAAAGTAGGTGGGAGACATTCCCAACCACCTAGCATGAATGATTATGCACTTATAGTAATTAGGATAATATGGTAGATAAATAGACTATCAGAACAGAAGAAGGTGGAAATTTATGTGTATATGGAAGCTTGAGAGAAGGTACTGCAGATCAATGGGGAAAAGATTAACTATTAAAGTCGGCACGGTGGCTCACGCCTGTAATCCCAGCACTTTGGGAGCCTGAGGTGGGCGGATCACTTGATCTCAGGAGTTTGAGACCATCCCGGCCAACATGGTGAAACCCCATCTGTACTAAAAATGTAAAAAATTAGCCGGGCATGGTAGTGCAAGCCTGTAGTCCCAGGTACTTAGGAAGCTGAATCGCTTGAACCCGGGAGGCAGAGGTTGCCATGAGCCAAGATCACGCCACCGCACTCCAGTCTAGGTTACAGAATAAGACTCCATCTCAAAAAAAGAAAAGATTATTAAAAATGATGCTGACTAAACTAGTTATATGTATATGAGACTAGAATAGGAATACTAACCTGATACTACATATAAAAATAACTTCTATATTAAAATACCTAAATGTGGAAAGCAAAACTGTAAAACTTATAGAAAAAAAATATAGGCGTATGCTTTTAAGATGTTGGCATTGGAAGGATAGTTTAAGAGACCCAAAAAGCACAGATTGCTAAAGAAAAGATGCATAAATCTGACTATCAAATTTTTTAAAACCCCAAAGCTTTTCTTTCTAAAAAGAAGCTCTTAAAGAAGTGAAAAGACAGGTATAGTATAGAAGATATTTATAACAAACATTTAGCCAGTAATTAGTATCTTATAAAAGATTCCTCCAAATCAATAAGACAAAGACAATCTGTTAGAAAAATGGACACATGACAGGCCACTAACAGATAAGGAGCCTGAGGTTTAAAAGACACTTGAAAAGCTGCCTGGTTTCCTGCTGTTTTTGCTTACCGGTCATATTGGCAGTAGGTAAAAAGTGCCAGTTAGACATATTGACAAATGTCCAGAGCTATGGGAATTCATATATTGCTGGCAGGAGTTAAAATTTGAAATAAGCATTTTGGTTCTTTTTTTTTTGAGATGGAGTCTTGCTGTGTCTCCCAGGCTGGTGTGCAGTGGCGCGATCTCGGCTCACTGCAACCTCCGCCTCCTGCGTTCAAGCAGTTCTCCTGCCTCAGCCTCCCAAGTAGCTGTGATGACAGGCACATGCCACCACACCCAGCTCATTTTTTTGTATGAAATAGGCATTTTGGAAAACAGTTTAGTAGAGTTTGAGCTACTCTTTGATCCAGGAATTTCACTCTAAATATGTATCATAGACCAAACTTGCCCATATCTATAAAAAGGTGTGTTTACGATTGGTCAGAGTAGCATGTTTACAATGCAAAAAGTTTTGTTTGTTTGTTTGAAACAGAGGGCCAGTGGTGGTTCTGTGGGTCTTGGCCCCTTTCTGCTAGCTGTCAGAGCTCAGTTGGCTCCATGAGTTGGTGAAAGCGGTATCCAGCCAGGTGCAAGGGAGACAGGGCAGGATTTTGCCCCCGTTGTGTCCCACTGATAAGCAGGCTAGAGGTCCCCTGTAGAAGGGTGACTCTTGAATATTAAGAGGATGGTATTCCTCACTGGTCATCCGGAGCTTGATGACCACTAGGGAATGTATCTGAGTCACGTGCACCCAATCTGTTATTGGAGGCAGTGCTGGTGTATCCATACAGGACTGCAGAGCTTCAACTCTGGCCTCCTCAGAAGAAAGAATTGGACCGAGGGGCATAAGGCAGGAGAGACTGAGGCAAGTTTCAAAGGAGGACGGAAAGCCTATTAAAAAGCTTTAGAATAGTAAGGAAAGGAAAGAAGGAAAGTACAACTTGGGAGAGGGCCAGGCAGGCGACTTGAGAAACCAAGTGCACCACGGAAAGTATTTAAACAGCGACCTAAATGCCCATCAGCGTGAATGGAAAGATCAGTATAGTTGTATGTAGAGTAGCATAGACATACATTCATAAAACAGAATGATATTAAATCAGGGAAAATTAATAAACTAGAGCTGTAGATAGCAACATGCATTTTGTTTTGTTTTGTTTTTTGTTTGTTTTTTTGAGGCAGAGTCTTGCTCTGTCCCCCAGGCTGCAGTGCAGTGGCGTGATCTCAGCTCACTGCAACCTCTGCCTCCTGGGTTCAAGTGATTCTCCCTCTTCAGCCTCCCGAGTAGCTCAGACTACAGGTGTGCACCACCACCCTGACTAATTTTTGTATTTTTAGTAGAGACGGGGTTTCACCATGTTGGCCAGGCTGGTCTCGAATTCCTGACCTCAGGTGATCTGCCCACTTTGGCCTCCCAAAGTGCTGGGAGTACAGGCATGAGCCACTGTGCCCAGCCTGGAAGACTTTTTTTTTAAAACACCATTCAGTGAACAAAAACCCAAGTTGTAGAAGGATATATTTCATATAACACCATTTATATATGTCTGAAAGCAACCCAACATATATAGGTCATCCTAATACATATATACACATATATATAATCCTAACCTATGTATTATTTCTTTATGTTTTTACTTCATTTGCATGGAATCGTTATATATATATATATATATATATATATATTAGATTTTTCATATATATATTAGAAGTCATATATTATTAGGAGTCCATGCAAATGAAGTAAAAATATGAAGAAATAATGGAAACTATGAACCAAATCTGCAAAGCATTTATTGAGGCAAGGATGTGGATATAGATTGAAAGGAAACCTAGACACCTTCATCCCTTTTTTCTTAAACTGGGCAATAGGTGTTGTCTAGGTATGTTAGGGTATCGTTTTACATTTTCATGTCTGAAATGATTGTTTTTCATTTAAAAAAATGCCAGTACAGCTCACAGATTTCAAGCAAAGTGAAGTTTAAAACGAATGCATTAAGTACAATCAGTTACTACAGAACATGATCTAAAAATACGTGTTCCTCATGTTGTGGGGTGAGAATGGAAATGAGGAGTAGATTGTAATCTTGCCAGGGAAGCCAGGTGTCTCGGCAGATTTGGAATCTTTTCTTGGCAGGTGGATCTAATTTATGTAATGCTTGGGTTAAGACAGATCAGGAAGGCAGCCTTGCCGTTAAACCTGAACCTGTGTGCGTTTTTAGCGATCACCACATGGAGGCAGCCTATCCAAGAAAATTCAAGGGCAGTATTTTGCACTTGAGAGCCCAGAAATTTTGATTTGGAAGCTCAGTAGAAGAGGAAAATAAACCTTGCCCTGCACTGAACAGCTGTGGTGAAAAGAGAAAATACCTTCCTTGGCAATTGAATGTTTTCACAGCTGTCACAGATGCTTTTGCTAGTTGTATCTGTATTTTTGAAAAACAAAGACATTTTTCGAAGTACTTTTTTTATTACGGGAATAAATCACCTTGTCTCTGTACTTTGGGATAAATCTCATCTGAACTTTGAGAATAATTAAGTGGCTTGACTTTCTGGAGAATCTAGTCATTGGGTAACATTCTTGTTTTCATATGTACCAGAAGGTTCTCTTTCATAGTTGATGTTGCACACACATTTTTTCCCTGAGTCTTTGGTATTTATAGTGGCACCATTGCAAATGTTAGAGTCTGTCAACTTTCATTCTTATTATTGTGTCATCTTTGTAGCCAAAAGCATGGGAAGAAATGTTCATGGCTCCGCCCCACTCTTGTCCCCTTCTACCTGGTCTACCTACCTGTGGCAGGCTCCTGTCCCACCACAAATGACAGCCTGTGTCTTTCATGCTGGCAGCTAGCCTTTCACTAGCCACTTACCTCCCTGCAACCCATATGCCTCCCTGTGTCTACCTGACGTTTGAATTGTCACTATTCCTGTGTTGTATTTTTTGGTTTTTGAGACGGAGTTTCACTCTTGTTACCCAGGCTGGAGTGCAATGGCGCAATCTTGGCTCACCGCAACCTCTGCCACCCAGGTTCAAGTGATTTTCTTGCCTCGGCCTCCCTAGTAGCTGGGATTACAGGCATGCGCCACCACACCCAGCTAATATTTTGTATTTTTAGTAGAGATGGGGTTTCTCCAAGTTGGTCAGGCTGGTCTCGAACTCTCGACCTCAGGTGATCTGCCCACCTCGGTCTCCCAAAGTGCTGGGATTACAGGTGTGAGCCACCATACCTGACCTCCTGTGTTGTATTTTTACAAGAATGTATGGGGCAGAAAACTCTTGCCATTAATTTCCTTAGCAGGAATTCTAGCCTTCCTTGGAGCCATGGTAATATGGAGG